AGGTCCTCCCCAAGATGGCAAGTTCTTGAAGTTGGCCCTGGGCCTGCTCCTCTTCCCGGCTGTGAATCACCCATCCATCCATCTGTTCAACCGTGCCTCTAAACAGTTCTGAGCACTGCAGTTTGCCAGTTCTGTGCCAGGCGCTAAGGATGGGCAAAGCCCTTCAGACCCGTTTCAAGAAGAGAAAGCTCCAGCCAGGCAGGGTTACACACACCTGTCATCCTAGCACGGTGGGAGCCTGAGGCAGGAGGATCCCAAGTTCAAGATCTCCTAATTTCTACCAGTGGGGCCTGGGGCAGCTTCACCTGGGGTTAATGTGGGCACATTTCTCTGTGGCTCCCACAAAGTGGCTCCCACATCAATGCAGGAGATTGGTGTGCCCCATTTCCTGTTGTGTTTCGACTCTCAGCTCTGGTCTCATGACCACAGGCTCCCCATGGCACCCTGCAACTAGGTGGGGAACACCTACGGTTTCTAGATGATTCTGGGCCCAGCGAAGGCTGAAGACTGACAGAAGCCAGGGGTAGACTGGGGACCCAGACCTGGGGCCGGCACAAGCAGGCTTGTCGGTGACCACTGTGCACATCCAGCCCAGGCCTGGCCTGTGGCAGCCGCCCCGGGGCCTGGCTTTGCTCTGATCCCAGACACCTTCCTGTGGAAAACCAGGGCTGTGATTTCCATCTGGCAAGGGAGCCCCGGCCCCTCCTCTGGGAACAATGCTCACCACCAGCCCTTCACACCTATGAGCACACCTCCTAATAACCCCCTCTCCAACCCTCCCAGGCCAATTTAGCCAATCTTCCTGGGACTTCATCAGGAAAAAACTTGTGGCCTCATTATTAAGTTTTTATTTGGATATAGTAGTTCTTGGTATTACATAAGCTCTAAGGGGTTAGGGCTAGGGATGTAGCTCAGCAGCACTGTGCCTGCCTCACAAGCACAAGGTCCAGAGTTGGATTCCCGGTACTGAATAAATAACGTGTTTAAACTCCAAGGGTTGGGGAGAGGAGAATCCATAGAAGATTCCTCCCTTCCTTCCTTTCTTCCCCAGCCCCTAGTACTGGGGACTGAATCGAGGGAGAGCTGAGCTTTATCGCCAGCCCTTTTTGTTTGGTCACAGAGTCTCACTGAGTTGGCCAGGCTCGGATCATATTTGCGATTCTCCTACCTCAGCCTCCGCAGTAGCTGAGATCAGAGCTATGCGCCACTTGCCTGGCTCTTCCCTTCTTTGTGAAGGAAGGGAAGACTCTGAACCCTGCCTGTTCCATTTTCCAGCACCAGCACCATAGCCTTTGTGCGTCTTTGCTGTTGGGCAGGTCACAATCACCCACATGCGCTCATGCACAGACACACACTCGGACACACTGAGGCTATGGTTTCCGGAGAGCAGCGAGCCACAGGCTGCCTCTGGGATGGGGCACGGACTGCGCCCTGACAAAGAAGGTGCCTTCCTCGGAGGCGAGTCCCAACAGGATGCCAGGCAGGCTCCTCAGGACCTCTCCCTGCTGTAATTTACTCAATCCACCAGGGCTCCTGGGGGCTGCCACATTTCAAGGGTCTCCCAGTTAGAAGGGGTCAGAGAGTTCACGCGGGCCTTTCATGCCAAAGGAACTTGAAAGGAAAGGAAGTGTGTATTTTCAGCCTCAGCTATGATTAAGTGGGCTCAGGCCATGAGGACATGCAGATGATTTACATGACACTACATGAAAGCCAATTAGCCTAACAACTTCCGAAAAATATCTAGCTCAAGAGCACCCATTTATTAGAGCACTTGGAATGCAGCAGCCATTGTGTTAAGCTCCTTTACGGGGATACAGTGATTCATCAGCACAGTGCCAGGTGGCCAGGTGTCACACCCATTTCTCCAGGAGGAGGCTGAGAGCCCCAGGGACGGTCTGTCATCCACCTGGGATCCCTGCTGGTAAATGGCAAGGCCACAGCAAGGCGGGGATGGAGACTCAGGTCTGGCCAGACCTAAAGCCAGAGCCTCCTTGCTCAGACCTCCAGGGTCCTGGCCTGGGACCCTCCAAAGGGCAGTCAAGTTCACCTGGTTCATTGCGGGAAGAGGCAGCCTCGTTAAAGCAGGCCCAGGAGAGGGCTGGGGATTTAGCTCAGTGGTTCCTCCACCTGCTTCACAAGCGCAAGGTCCTGAGTTCAATCCCCAGTACCCAAAAAAAGCAGCCCCAGGAGAGAGGCCAGAGGCTGAGCGGGACTACTGGGTCCTCTCGCAGGCAAAGGGCTGGGCCTGTACAGACTGTCCAGGTGACTCCCTAAGTCCTCTCCCCGGCCTCTCCATGCAACAAGAGTGACAGAAAGTCAGGATCCTGTATCGAGGCAACTTGCATAACAGCATTTGTCTGCTCGGACTGCAGCAGATGAGGACTCCCTCCAGAATGTGGGGTCACCATGGAACCTCCACTAGGAGCGCACTGTAGTTAGGGTGTGGGCTCAGCAGCCGACTGCCTGGGTTTCGAACACACAGCCTCATTTTTAAGTGGTGACACCCTCTGAGCTTCAGTTTCCTCATTCATAAAATGGGGATAGTGGTCCCTACCTCACAGGGCTGGCGTGGGGATGAAATGGGGTGATGTGTGTGCACTGGACGGGATCCCAAGGCACAGCAGTCACTTGGGACACGAAGCCTTTGCACAGATGATGATGAAGGAATCGGTGCTGACCAAGCAAGGGGCTCCTGCTGGGGTGCACCTGCCTTTTGGGAAGCAATTCCACCATCTGTATAGACCAGTCCAGCCCCGGCTCAGCTCTAATAATTCAACTTCTCAGAGTAGCCAGTGGCTCCTGAAGGACCTCGACCCTCCCCTCCACGCCCAGAGCTACATACACAGCGACACAAGCCCCAGACGTTCAGTGCGGCCATGCACATGTGACCCCGCCCTCCCCTCCCCCCATCTACCCCGCCTTGGCCCCCCAAACTCTCTACTTTCCTTCCCCCTCTGGCTCCCGAGGCAGGGTGAGGAGATGAAGCCTGACCCCACAGGGCAGTGGCTTCCGGACTCCAGGATCTCACAGAGAAACAGATCCCATCAGATCAGATCAGGATGAAATGTCCTCATTGCCTTCTGCCAAATAAAGGCATTTAAAAACCTCTGTTCCCACCATCACGTGAGTAAAGAAAGGCTTCACACCAATAAAGCAGAAAGACCATAATCTTTCGTTAAAGGCTAATCACACCAAGCTGAAAAAATTACCCTGAGAAAACCCAACCATAAACACACTTGCCCTGACTTCTCTCCTTTCGCCATGATCAGGGGAGGACGTCAAACCCTCACCCCAGGGCCCTGTGTTCTCCGGTCCCACGGGTCTCCCGAACTGTCTGGAAGGCGCTGCCTAAGCTGGAGGCGCCCACAATCCCCTCTAGGTTAGGAGCATTTCTATTCAACTTCGGCAGTCGGTGCTCATCCCCGCCACATGGTTCAACCTCAGAGGACTGGCAAGGGGAGGTCCCCACCTGGTCCAGTCTCACTCCTCCCCTGGCAGGGTCACATTTGGTTGGAGTCACCCAACCCCTCTAATCTAGGAGCCTTGGGGTAAAATGAGCAGCAAGCTCACACCCGGGGCGGGGCTGGAAGATCCAGGGGCAGGCTGAGCACGAGTGCCCAGGCTCCCAGCCCTGGGAAGGGAAGAGAAAGGGTCATCCTAACTACAGGTGGAGGACCCGAGACGCCCCGCTGGGAGGGCAGATAGGATCTGAGCATGGAGAAGCTCGGCCCTAGTTCTTTGATCCGCAGCCAGGGAGGCCCAGCCTGGACCAGGAGGGGCGGCACGGCTGTCTTCCGGCCTGGCTGTGCGCTACTGCCAAGGGTCCTTTGAGGCCTTGAGCTGGAGAAGCTTCCAAGAGGCCGGTCCCCAAAGAGGTGGGAGCGTCTACACCCAGAAACGGGCGGGGGAGCAGCGTGGGGAAGGGGCCGAGGCTGACTGCAAGGCGCTCCACACAGCCCGTGTCTTGTGCACACGGAGTGGCTGAGCCGAGGCCCAGCGTGTCCTGCAGGTCCGCGTGGACGCCTCCCCGGGTGCAGAGCAGATGCAGGGGCGCCGCAGCGCGACCCAGCGTCACAGCCAAGGGACCCCGGGATGTAACTTCCGGACTGAATCACGGCGGACCGAGGACCCCACGCCGGGATCCCGTGGCCCACGTGGCTCCTCAAAGCCCCGAGTCCCCGCCGCAAGTTGTCGGGGAAGTTGTGGGAGGAGGGGTGCGGGGGGAATCGCGTGGACGGCGGGGGGTCCTTCCTCCTGCCCTCCCGGTACGCGCCTCGGGGCTCCCGGGGCGGGGCGGGGTCTCCGACGGACGGCGAGGCAGGAGCGACGCAGGCCGACGCGGGCTGCAGGCGCTCAGTAGCCCGGGAGGGTGTGTGCCACTGCTCCGGGCGGCGGGCTGCGGGCAGGAGCCCCCGAGTGTCACCAGGACGGGGCGGGGGGCAGATGGGGCTCTGGGGATCCTAACTGCTGGGTCCCTGCGATCCCAGTGCAGCCTCGAGCAGCTCCAAGTCCTTGGAAGCTCGAAGTTCAAAACCTGCGGCCCAGAGGCGCCCTACACTGCGCGTTCCCAGCCTCTCCCAAGTCCCTCGGGGACCTGCACTCTGTGGCTGGAGACCTGGGACGGGGCGGGAATATCCTGCTGTAGGTGAGACAGGGGGCAGGGAGTTTCCTTTAGAGTCCCTGTCTTTCAGGACAAGGGTGGTGATTTTCGAGCTGCTCCGACGGCTCCCGCGGGAAGAGCGAGCCCTTTAAGGCTGTGCCCAGTGGGCGCGTCCCGGCCTCTCCCGGGAGAGGGGCGGGGCCGCGGCTTTGCCCCGCCCCGTCGGGCCCCGCCCCGGCGCCCGCCCCGCCCCCCGGCACTCCGCCGGCGGCGCCTTTGATGTTGCGACCCGCCAGCTCCCGGAGCCGCTCAGCCCGGCGCCCTCGGCCCGCCCGCGCCCACAGCCCGCCCAGGCGGAGTCGGCCTGCGCTCCGCCTGCCGCGCTCCGGGCTCGGAGGTCCCGACTCCGGGCTCGCCGCCTCCCGGGCCGGCTCGGCGCCCCGCACTCCCGGTTCCCCGCGCTCCCGGCGCCCCGCCGAGCGCACCATGCCGCAGCTGGACTCGGGCGGCGCGGGCGGCGGCGACGACCTGGGCGCGCCCGATGAGCTGCTGGCCTTCCAGGACGAGGGCGAGGAGCAGGACGACAAGAGCCGCGACAGCACCGCGGGCCCCGAGCGCGACCTGGCCGAGCTCAAGTCGTCGCTCGTGAACGAGTCCGAGGGCGCGGCCGGGGGCGCAGGGGCCCGGGAGGCCGGGGGCGCAGCGAGCGGCGAGGCCGAGGTCGGGCCCGAGGTGAGAGCCTGCGAGCCCCTCGGCGGGCCCGGGGGACCGGGGCCGGGGCCGGGTACCCCCGCCCGCCCCGCCCAGCCCGCCCCGGCCGGCCCCTCACGGCCCTCTGGTCTCCCGCAGGCTCTCGGGCGGGAGCACAGTTCGCAGAGACTCTTCGGCGACAAACTTCCAGAGTCGCTGGAGGACGGTGAGTTTCCGCTCCCCGACCCACGGCAGCCCGCCGCGGCGTGGAGGGCGGCGGGGTGGGGATGGGGGGGCGGGTTTCCCGGGCGCCGCCGGCTCGAGTCACTTCCGGTGCCCTGACCTTTATAGGAGTAAACAGACCCCCGCCGTCTCCGCCTCCCCTCCTGCCCAGGTGACTGACTGCAGAATCCCCTGCTCTGAGGAGAAAGCTGGCCGAGGTTCTTTGGCTGGAGGGCAGGGTAGGAGCCGAATCAGAGCTGCCTGAGGGACGCAGGGTCCGTCCCCCCCCCCCCCCCCCCCCCCCCCCCGTTCCTCCTCCTCGCTCTCCCTCTCCCCAACCCCCCCCTCCCCCCGCCCCCAGAACTTGGCCCTGGGGCCAGCCTGTCCCCTATCAAGTCTCTAACTTGAAGGGGACCCTTTGGCGATTCTTATTTTTCTCTCTAGAGCAGACAGCCTTCAGCCCGAGCAGCTGCCCGGGCTGGTGTCTGACCCAGCTGTGGTTTTTCCAGGCCTGAAGGCCCCGGAGTGCGCCAGCGGCATGTACAAAGAGACCGTCTACTCCGCCTTCAATCTGCTCATGCACTACCCGGCCCCCTCGGGCGCAGGGCAGCACCCCCAGCCGCAGCCCCCGCTGGTAAGTGGCCCATCGGGTGCCTGGTGTCTCTGACCAGGTAGGTGAGGCATGGGCAGGAAGTGACTTTTGCCTAGAAGGAAACAGGAGAATTCTGTGCTGCCCCCCACCTCCAGTGGGTTCTGAACCGAAAAGGAGAACTTTGCTGAAGGAAGGAGGGGCTGCTGGGTGCAGGCCCTGTCCTGTTGCTGGGGTCTTCTGCAGACACTTCTGAGCTAGGACCACCTCCATCCTGAGGGTGGTGTGCCCAGTGTGCTCCGAGCTCCAGCTGGCTTTCTCCCCGGAGGCCACTGCTGCAGTGTTGGAGGGATGGGCAGGTCATGGCTGTGCAGGAGAAGCACTGCCCAGTGCACGGTGCCCTTGTTGGCACGAGTGTGACCTCGCCCAGGAAGGGTCCTGCACACCAAGTAGGTTCCGAGGAGGCTGGCTTGGTCTCAGGAGAGTCCGAAGGGTTTCAGAGATGTGCTACAGAGAAGCGGGATCAGTGAGGGACCACCTTAATGATTTTGTGAGTTTGATCTTTTTAAGTACCCAGAGTTTTGAAAAGAGTTCATGATCGTCACCCACTGTGCTTTCTGCTCTCTGGTACAAATAAAGTATGAAGAATGAGTCAGGCGTGGTGGCACACACCTGTAAGCCCAGCACCCAAGAGGCTGAGGCAGGAGGATCACAGTGAGATTGAGGCCAGACTGAGATACATAGCGAGTTCGTGGCCAACCTGAACTATGTATAGTGAGACCCTGTCTCAAAAAAAAGCCCCCAAACATATGAAGAGCTTATTCCGAGTGCTCTGAAGCAGTCTAGCTGTACTTTTTTATTAAAATAATTCATACGAGTGGTTCAGGCTGTCGTTGGTATGAGGGTGCATGGAAGGCTAGAGGTCTCTGAGATGGCCGGGCATGGGGAGGCCACAGGCCAGAGGCTTGTGCGCCCGCCCGGAGCGGGAGAGCTGGCTGCAGGCTGTTTCAGACCGAGAGTGCGGAGGGTGGTTCTGGGAGCTGTCTTCTGCGGAAGCCGTTCGGAGGTGGCTCTTCAGGGCCCCGGATGGAGAACCTGGTAGCCGGCTGACTAGGAAGGAGCGCCTTGCCTCTTGGACAGTGTGAGCGTGGTGGCTGGGGGCCAGCCTGCCGGCTCTGCTCTGAGTGGCTTGGTACCTGAGGCACTTCCCTTCTGGCCAGGCCTGTGGGACCGGGCTTGGTCCCAGCCTTGCCCCCTAAAGCAGCCACTTTCCAGCGGCCTGCACCCCACACTAGCCGGTGCTTCCTCAGGGGTTTGGGATCCCCTGCCGGGTGTAGACCTTGGAGCTGGGGCCACCTGACATAACCCTGCCCTTCTGAGCCGCAGACAGGGCAGGCACTGCTTGGTGTGGACCAGGGTCACCGTGGTAACTGACTAGACCAAGGGCCTAGGCCTGAGGACCCACCGGGCAGGACCGGCGCCTGTGAGCACACAGCAGTTCAGGAGGAAGCAGTGGGGCCAAGCGCCTCCCAGCTCAGGCAGGTGGCGGGAGAGTGTCCAGACCAGGGAGGACCTCCTGGTGCCATGAGGGTGCGAGAGACAGGGCCATTCGGTGTCCTTTGACCGCACTGGTCAAAGAGCGGGCAAGTGATGGACTCACAATCGGGTCAACACACTCACCTGGCCCGGGCCATGTATTTGTCAGCTTTGGGGTCTCGCTTGAGCTGCAGCAGACGCATGTCTGTGTCCCACCCTCTCCTGCCCTCGCCACCCAGCTACTAGTGCCCTCACTGCCAGCTGCGGGGACTCGGGAGGGTGCTCTGCCACTGCCTTTCTGTGCCCTGGCTTCCGTCTCTCTGCGGGCCGGGGGACCAGGGTGTATGCCGGGGGCGGTGCCTCAGTGACCCTGGGTGAGGGAGAGGGAAGGGAATTTGGGCAGCATCATTCAGCAAACCCGATACTTACAAAATATAGCAAGTGAAAGTCATTTCTTACACTACACGAAGAGTTGTGTGGATGTTTCAAGTTGTGGTTGGGTTTTTTGTTATTTTGCAGTTCTGGGGATTGACCCCAGGGCCCTCACAATGAGCTACATCCTCAGTCCTGTTTTTCTAATTTTTTAGAAATTTTTGAGACAGTCATTAAGTTGCTCTTGCTGGGCTCAAACCTACATTCCTCCTGCCTCAGTCTCCCGGAGTGCCGGGATTACAGGCATGTGCCACCGTGTCCAGCTGTGTGGTTGGGTTTTAAAAATCAAAGAGGATTGACCTGTGTTTTGGAAACACGTTTATCATCTGATTCCGGGTTTATGTTTCTGGATCCAGGGAGACCCTCTGACAGCAAGCCAGCCGGGAGCCCCTTGAAAAATCTCTAGGAGAAACTGCCTTGGGAAGTTTTTTCCAAAGCTAGTCCTGTGTCAGCTCCTTTGTCAGTAATGAACAGACAATGCACTTTCCAGCCCTCACTAGGCCCCTCACTCTTGCCCTTTCCCAAGGCATCAGGTGGTCAGCTCTCGTGCTGAGATGCTCACGAGCAATCACTGGACCTCCCTGGACAGCAGGGGACCCACGCCAGAGACCTTCTCTGCTCCTGTGTGGGTCTCATGCCCATGTGCCTACCACACTGGAGAGTCCCCAACAGGCCGACTCAGACTAGCCAGGAGGAATGACCTAAATGCCTAGCTCACAGCCAGCTACCACGGGTAGAGAGATTCTGTTCCCAAAAGATTGCTTTTGTGGTACTGAAACTTCTTTTAAGCTTTGTTTGGAGATGGGGAGATTAGGTCAAAGTTTATTCCATGACTGGTATTTTCTAGGCATCTAATGTAGGCTTGTCGGCCGTTCCAGGCACGGACCAGTAACCGTTGCTTGTTTTGCTTTGTTTTCTCTGCTCTGAGACCCAGGACTGGGTAGGGTTAGAGCAAGAGGGTAGTGAGCTAGCCCCAGGCTGGACTCTAGGGGGATTCTGGGATGAGTAAAGGTATCATCGCTTCGGGAAACATGGACTATTGGATGTGCCACACTGTCAGTCTGGTTATAGCCGAAAGGGATACGAAGCAGCATGGCTTCGTAGCCCCTTCCACAGACTCCACTTGGAGTCTGGCCTGGAAGGATGCTGAGTCTTTTGGCATTTAGATGCAGTATGCAGAATAGACAGATCCATAGAGACAGTAGATGGGTGGCGGCATCGGGCTGAGGGAAGAGGAGAGCGGGGAGCGACTGCTGGTGGCTATGGGGTTCCTTTTCGGGGTGACGAATACACTCTGGAATCAGGTAGTGGTGATGGTTGCACAATCTTACGAATACACTAGAAGCCACTGAGTAGGATACTGTAAAATGTTGCGTTTAGTGGTATGTGAATTGCTGAGGTTTTTGGCCATTGCAGAGGGCTGGGGCCATACGTCTGTGTCCCTGAGCCCCATACCATCTGGTACCTGGGCAGGCCCCCACCAGGGGTTACGTGGCAGGTCCAGCGTGAGAAGCCTGAGGAGGCAGTGGATTCCCACCTGGGCGGGCCCCTGCTCATCGGGCTCACCTCTGAGTCCTCAGATTGCGTCCAGGTGAGGACCATGTGAGTGAGCCCTAGGGGAGCCGGAGGCATGGGTATGAGCAAGACTCAAGCGGTGGAGGAGGGAAGGAAGTGCCGCGGACACGTGGCCCCTGCAGGGAGCTGTGCAGCAGCACCACTCACCCTCCTGAGAACGGTGGGTGTGAGGGTAGGGTGGGGTAGCCGGGCCAGCCCAGGTTGGGGGGAAGCTAGCCAGGATGGAGTGGCACCAGGCTGCTGCTCGGCTGTGGGCATCTGGAGGAGCGGAACCAGGCCCTGCCTCTGGGGGACCGATGAGGACCTGAACCCAGCCCTGGGAGTGTACGTCGAAGAAGGTCCCTCTGGGGGCTTCCTGGGTGGGCCAGGGCGGGCTGAGCAGCTCCCTGAAGGCTGCAGACTGTCTGACGGAGGCAGAGCGAGAGGGGACAGGTGTGCGCCTGGGCTTCCCTCCACATGCACCCCGGGCCTTCCCTCCCCACTGCCGTCAGCAGCCCCAGGCCCAGGCCATCTCTGTGACTCACCCACATGGCAGCAAGGGCCGCCTCTGTGGCCCCACCTTGATCCACGATCCAGGCAACACAGAGCTCCAAAGGGGTCCTTCTGCAACATAAAGCAGGTCTCGTCTCTCACCTGATTGATTCCGCCAGGTCCCCATTGCTCTGGGAGCAAAGTGCAAACCACTCACCACAGCCCGAGTGTCTGATGGGCCAGCCCTCCAGCTGCACCCTTGTCACCTGCACCATCCCTTCCCTCCCTCCAGTAGCTACTCAGTGTCCTTGTGGTTCTGCACCTCGAAAGTTCTTCCCGCCTCGGGACCTTTGCATGTGATCAATCCCTTCTTCCTTGCTGTCTGGGCTCTGCTGGGCCCAGTGGTCAGCTTCCATCTCGGGTCCCATCTGGACAGAGGGCAGTGTCCCTGTTGTGGGCTGGAGGGGTCTGGTGACCCCTGTATAGAGGTCCCCTACTTGCTGCCCAGCCTCACCCAGGACCTGGGGGCGGTGGGGTTGTCCCTAGGGCCAGGTTGGGAACCACACCTCTCCACCCTAAAAACCCCTTCACACCACCCCAAGATTTTTCTGAAAGGCTTCCCTTCCTCTGCCATATAAACCCTTTTAAACAAGATGTGAAGAATTTAAGCTGCTTTGAAAAAGAAAAAGCAGGGGGAAGAGCCTGGTGGGCATTAGCACCCAACCGTTCAGACCTTTCTTCCCCGCTGTGGTGCAGCCCCACCCCTCCACGGGGCCCATGCACAATGTCATTATTTGGTCCCTCTGCGGCCTTCACCCACTTTGCAAACCCTTCCATAGCTCGCATTTGGATTATCTTCCTTACACATAACATCCAAAGACAATTAGGGGTCAGGAGGGAGGAGGAGCCAGGCGAGGGGGCACACTCCTGGAGTCCCAGCACTTGGGGACACTGAGGCAGGATTCCAAGTTTGAGCCCAGACTGGGTAACATGGTGACTGTAGTGGGGCCATGTCTCAAGGTGTTAAAAAA